ATACATATGAATAAAAAAGATCCACAAGTTTCTCTTCTAGTTGAGTTTAATATATAAAAATAGAGATGCTGGCGGTATTAGAGCCACATATAGACGTCTTCAATTTTGTTTATATAAGTCTTCCTATGAATAATTTTATTGAGTACTTACTATGTGTAAAACACTGTACAAAGGACTGTGAGAGTTACTAAGATGAGTTAGGAAAATAATTTCCAGTAATGTGAAGTATGGCAGAACCTTCCAAAACAGAATAAGACACCTCAGAAAATGAATGAACAATTCATAACATAATTTTAATAAGATTACTTTTAGCATTTGAGATCTTAAGAGAATATAAAATAGTCCTCAAACAATAATTAATGCTATTTATTGATTAGATCTCTCCAGACTTCAGAGGTGCCTAATCATTGATATAAATAGCAAGGTTCTGTCATAAGAAGGAAAGGTGGCAGGATTTGGTAGTATAGCAGTTTACCACTCACTAGCTTGAATTAGGCCAAAAAATTGGTGAAATTGAAGGAGAGGTCCCTATAAGTCTTAAAACCAAAGACATGAAACCAAAGCAGAAGCTTAGTCTTAAAAAATGAGCATTAAGGCTTGCCATTAATACATGGCACTCCAAATGTGATTAGCAGTAGAAGTATAATAGGGAGATATTTAAGAGTCAATTATATTAATATTAATACATGTTTAGAATATTGGGTCTGTTTAGTATACCCAAGCCTAACTGGGTACTGGTGATGAAGGTCTCTCTATATAACTTGGCTTAGACAGGACCAACTCATGAGCTGAGTTGGAACAAAAATTTCAAGTGTAGAATCAAGGGACCCAGCTATGCAAGGTTGAGAATACTAAGACGGAGGAACCAAAACAAATTTTGACAATGTAAGATTTACAGAGTGGATAGACAACATGCAGGAATTTAGCATGATCATTATAGAAAAATCAGAATATACTGTTATAAGGGCTATGCTACAGGCCAAGAGGAAAACAAAGAGTGGAGATCAGAAATCAAAGAAACACTCAGAAGATGTTATTTCTAAAGAAAAGGCAGAAAAATTTGAAGCCAGGAAAATAATTCTAAGCTCCCAATAGGAAATAACCTGTCTAGTTCATTCATTGGTTAATTCCTTTGTTCATGTATTCATTCAGCGACAGTGTAATAGATGTTGGAAATACAGTAGAATTTTTAATGAAAAAAAAAAGGTCCTTGTTCTAAACGATCTTGTAGAGAGCAGGGAGTGAATTCCAGGCTGCCTGCAATTATTTTCTTTGGCTGAGATTCCTTGGGTACCTGGGGGTTCTCTAACTCTCTCTAAATTACCAGCATTTGGAGGAAAATTTTAAACTTTATGCTACAGAATAGACAAAGACTCTCCATATTTCAGCCAAAACAATCCTTCTGAAACATAATCTGACTTTCTTCCTTAAAATCCTTCAATGGTTACCTTAAATATAATTACTTAATATAGTATTATGACTTGGCCCTTTCTTCCCTCCAGCCTAATCTTTGAACATCCCTCCTTCTTGCACTCTGTTCTACTTTTGGTTACTTGAAACCACATGTTTACTCTGGATTCTGGCATTCCTTCAGTCTGATACATTCTTTCCTCTTCTCCTCACTTGGTTGATTCCTATTAAGTTCTTAGCTTAGGCAACACTTCCCTGACCCGCTCTAGGTTAGGTACTCCGGCTACTGACTCCCATAGTAGTGTACTTCCTATATCACTCTTACTGTTATTTATTCAGTTCCATCTTTTCTGATAAATTGAAAGGCTAGTTCCTAGGGGTTAAGATATATGTCTGTTTTGTTTACCATTCTACATTTGCCAAGTGCACACAGAGTTTGGCACCAGGAAAATATTAATCACATTTACAGAATTTTTTTTTTTTAGAGACAAGGTCTTATGATGCTGCCCAGGTTGGGCTCAAGCTATCCTCTGGCCTTAGCCTCCCAAATAGTTGGGACTACAGGTACATGCTACTGCACCTGGCTTACAATTATATAATTTTTTCCTAATTTAGAGCATTTTTAAAATTGCTAAAATTAATAAAATGAATGAGTGCAAGAAATGTAAATTCTGTGAGGTAGGAACTGTATCTATTTACTAACCATTGTATCTCTAGTACTTCATACAGGACATAGTATAAAGTAGCTGCTTATAATATTTTTGACTGATTGAATAAATAAATGCCATCCTTGACCCTAGTCAGTCTTACCTTATTTGCACAAAACCCCTGTAATGAACTGGCACTGTATCTGACACCTTCAGTAGCTTACTCTCCTTCCTCATATGCTATTCCCTAAAATGCAAGGCCCCGAAAACTTACACTGCGGCTGGATCTAGGCTCAACCTGCTGTGTATGTGTTTGGATTCAGTTTGATCAGTATGTTTTCTTAAGAAACCAAAAGCTTCCATTTTCACAGATTCTTGTAAATAGTACTTCTAATTCTCCCTGCTCACCCAGGTTCCTATCCCTTTGTTCCCCAACTAGGTAGCTTCACTGTTCTGTAAGCATTGCAAGCTGCTCTGAATATGTATCTATGAAACAGAGAAGGCATAGACGAAAACAAGGTACCTAGCAGGCCCTTGAATAGATGAAAAGCAAATCTCAAACATTAAAGGTTATCTTAGGGAGGTAGACATCTTTGTATATTTGTAACTGAAAAAAAAGCCAGGAAAACCAAATAATACACAAAAAAATCCCCAAGTGGTGATGGAAGTGAGAAATATTGTATATTCCCTGGTTGGAAGGATGGAAGGTAAGCTACAGTCAAGCCTGAAAGTTATCTTGAGGGTTAGGAGAGTATTTGATCGTTACAATTAAGGCTAAATGCCTATAAAGCTTTTAAGAAAATTACATAGTGGAAAAGTATTCAGTTTTGATGGCCAGTATTCAATATGAGTATGAATAACCATGCCAGAAAAATTGCAATAATCCATATAAAATTGTTTTAAAGGAAATTAATTTCAGTATAACAATATGTTTATCATTATAAGCACACAGCATTAAGTGTTCTTACCCACATAGTGTAATATAGGCTACTATTTAAAACAAATAAAAAAAAAGTCCCTACCTTTTATAATAATCTAAAGCAAACAACACTGAAAAATATATGAAGTGGTAAGTTATCATAGCCATGTAATTATAATGCACATTTTCTAAGATCACTGATGATTAGTCCTTCCTTCCTGCCTTCCCTTCCCTCTCCCTCCCTTCCTTCTTTCCATTATTTCACCATTTATTGATAGATTATGTCCAGGCATATACACAGCATATAGAAGGATGAGCAAATCAGAGTCCCGACCTGATTCTTCTCTACTTGCGAATTTTAACCTCATTTTTGGATCTAGTATGTTTTTACCCAATAATCCTCCAACCCAGAGGATTGGTATATTACAAGCAAAACATTCAGATGGGTCCTGGTACCTTCAAAGGAGTCCCATTTTTTAGGTTGACAAAAGAGTAAGAATAGAAGATGAAAAGGCAGAAGAACAAGGGAAGACCCCTGGAGATAGTCACTAAAGAGATGAGAGCAGATGGAATCAAGCACATAGGTCTAGGGATGAGCCTTCAATAGCAGAAGGTCAACTTCTTTTATATTAGAACAAAGATGATGAGGATGGCTTTAGACAAATTTGTTTGTAGATGGCAGAGAAGGGCAGGAATTTTCAAGTGGTCATATCTCACAGCTTGAAGTCTTCAGGAAGATAGTGAAGGTTTGAAATATCATTGCAGAACATAGGAGCAGTGCTTAGGGCCCTTCTAATACTGCACACTTTATATCTGAAGTGTCACTGGGAGAGCTCACCAGCCTGTATATGGACAGATACCAATCCAAGTTCAATGGTTTTCAGAAAGGATGAAGCCTTTAAAAAAGTGAGTTAGAATACTGAAGATACTAGAAAGAGAATGGTTAAAGTTATGTGCCATGAGCCAAAACCAGGAAAGAAAGTAACAGATTGGGAGAACACTGAGCAGGAAGAGGCTGGAAAGTCTAAGAGAATAAGAAATTGAGAGTGAAATGTGGTTGCTGTCAAAAAGTGATATGTATGCTTTAGGGGTTCAAAGGCAGACCAGTGATGAGTGATGACAAGGTTAAAGATGTGGGAAGGTACGTGAATTACTAACAAAAAACATGAATAAAGACTGCTGCACTGAGAGGAACAGAACAAATTATTCATGTGATGGAAGTTAATGTGGTAAGCGATGTGAAGGCTGTTTGTGAAACAGGTGCAACAAGCAGAGGAAGAAGGTAGTACACAGTAGAAAAATCACAAAAGGAAAAGAGGTACCTTGTATGCACCAACTAATCTGTATCATCTGCTATTTCTTAAAAAATATATTCTTTCTCCCTCTATATCAGAGGTCCCCCAACCTATGATGAGTTGTATAATTATTTCATTATATATGACAATGTAATAATAATAAAGTATACAATAAATGTAATGTCTTTGAATCATCCCTAAACCATCCTCCCTCTCCCTGGGCTGTGGAAAAATTATCTTCCATGAAAACAGTCCCTGGTGCCAAAAAGGTTGAGGACCACTGTTCTATATTATTCTTTATTCTATTCAATATTCCTGCATTTACTGATAGGTTCACTCTGAAAAAAACCTGACCAATTTGAACAAAAGATTTTTTTGAAGCAGCTCCCATAGGGGAATATTTCCTAGAGCAAACTAGTAAGTCACATCTATGAATCGGTTTCAGTTACCATCCACATGATCCATCTATATTAAATTGTAAATTTTTCTTTAAATTCTCAAAAATGATGAAAAGCAACAGTAATTAGAAAGAATACACTTTTTTTAAAAAAAGAGTACTGTATAAAAATAACAGATGGCAGAATAAGGAATGAATAGATGGTGCTTTATGCATATAATCGTAATGTAATTCTCACTAGACACTAGCAAAAATGTTATCTCGGTATGCATGTCTATACTACAACAGTCACACACTCATACGATGCAATTAATCAATAATGTAGCCTTACCTGTATTGCAAGGGCACGGGCTACAAGACCTCTAAGGTATTGTAAGGGATCTTCTGGGCCTTCCCACTTGCTCTGCCATGTGAGAGGACACTGCAATTTAAAAAGGGTCAAAATTAAATTTATATATATAATACTACATATGAAAGACTTTTAACATTAGTATGATGGGGAAAAAATTTTGGCATTATTCACATTATGCATATCATGAATTCATTTCATTAAGATGTGTCTGTTTTTCCTTGATCTCATTCAAACTGAGTGATAAGACAGTGGATTTATGTTTCTCTAAAATGAGGATTTTTGTAAAGTAAAAATTCTTGAAAGAACAAATGAAATTAAATTGGTATATAGAAAGTAGTCAACCATGTTTTCTTGAAACAATATTTAGTGCATAATGAAATCAAATTAAATTTGATGAAATCATTTTATAAGTGGCAAAGATTAAAAAACAGTGAGTCTTAGTCCCTATAGAATTTCTTTAAACTATAAATAGAACAGTATAATGGAAACTTTACTTCCAAACCCACATTGAGACATATGCTACAAAGGGAAGAAATAAAGAGAGAGTAAGTACTCTAAATTAAAAAAAAATAAATGGGCCGAGCGTGGTGGCTCATGCCTGTAATCTTAGCACTCTGGGAGGCCGAGGAGAGCGGATTGTTTGAGCTCCGGAGTTCAAGACCAGCCTCAGCAAGAGCAAGACCCCGTCTCTACTAAAAATTAGAAAGAAATTAACCGGACAACTAAAAATATATAGAAAAAAAATTAGCCGGGCATGGTGGCGCATGCCTGTAGTCCCAGCTACTTGGGAGGCTGAGGCATAAGGATCGCTTGAGCCCAGGAGTTTGAGGATGCTCTGAGCTAGGCTGACGCCATGGCACTCCAGCTTGAGCAAAAGAGTGAGACTTTGTCTCAAAAAAATAAATAAATAAATAAATAAATGAAACTACTGTAAGAATAGCTGTCTTACAAAAGACATCTTTCTAATATCTGACCTCCTATTAACATTCTCCATTAATGTATACTTCTTTCCTTCAAAGTATTCTGTAAGTTCATGTTCATTATAATATATCTTGTTTCTAACGGTTTTCTAGCTTTCCAAATATTTTGTACATATCATGCAAACTTCTTAACATATTATTTGTCTGAAGTGTGGTAATAAGGAGAGAACATTCATCTCATATCCCAAATACCGCCTGGTTACATAGTTGAGAAACTGCTCTGGGCTACAACAGAGGCTTCCAATTCTTAGCCAGTGCCAATTTGTCACATGTGAGTGAGCTGTGTGCAAGAAACAAGCTTTCTCTTACCAAGTGCTACCAAAATTTAGGATTTGTAATTGTTAATAATTCTTTAGGCTTAAAGAATTTACCCTCCCCAAACTTCCATCCAAACCTCCTATAAAACCCACCTCTTTCCCCTTCCTAGGGGTGTATTAGGCACTTAACCTTTGCCAGACCCCTAGGGAGACAAAGGAATGAGATGTAAAAGGGGAATTTACTTTCCTTATCCCTCCTGTTAAGGACAACACTTATCCCTCCCAGTTGTTCCCTAGGGAGATAAAGGAATGGAATGCAAGAGGGGGACTTACTTTGCTTATCCCTCCTGGTTGTTTGAAAAGAATTTATTTACTCCCCCCAGAAAAACCCTCTATAAAACCCAAGGCTCTCCCCCCCTTTTCTCTCCTGGAGGCCTTTTTTGGCCTCCATCTATCTGCATCCAGATGCTCAAAATAAACAGCATTTTGCTACACTTGAGGCTTTGTGTGTCTCTCTCTCAGCTCTGGACCTAACAGTAAGCTGGAAATAAACAATTTTATTTAAAATGATGATATTGTTTTATGCTAGTAAGTTTTGGTGATATTTGTTCTGTTGCAAGACTTAACTGACACAGATTTTGGTATACTTAGAAGTGGGGTACCGCCTGAATAAAAACCTAATACGTATGGCATTGTATTTGAAACTGGGTGGTGGACTAAAGCTAGAAGGCCCTTCAGGAAAGTGTAAGTAAAAACTTAAAGGACTTCTAAGAGAATACTAGTGGAAGCCTAAGGAGCTTTGAGGACCTAAAAGGAGGAAAAAATCTCAGACAGAAAAAAATATTCTAAGGACCTGAAGGACATGCTTGCAGATCCTCTGTTAGACAATAGGAATTCAACGAATCTTAAGGGCGTTGTCCTACAGCTGACTCAGAAGAGACATAAGGTAGAGAGAAAGGCTTATGTTGAAAAGATTTGTGGCTTTTGTCTAATGGAGTGAATCTCAATGAGATTCATAGTAAACTAGAAATTTTTAAAAAATTGATCTAGTGTAAGCTCCATCAGTTTGGGATTAAAGAGTGAGAGAAGATGCAATGAAAAAAGAACTTTGGACTCCAGGACTTCTATGGACAGGAAGCAGGCTGAGAAAACCACTCAACTGCAAACATAGGTTACAATTTATTGAAATGTATAGATAATTCAGGTCAGAATCAAGAGCTCACAGGGTAAAATCAAGAGCCACGGATCATCATTCCTAGGGAACGGCACAGGATACTAATAAAGGAACCAGACACATGAGCTTGCTTGAATTTCAGGATTGCTAAGAACATGTTAGCTTCCCATTTCCCCACCCCTTTTTTGAATAGGAATGTCTTTGTAGTTACCCTCTGCCAGACCTACCATTTTATACTGGTATTGCTCAGACTGAACTCCCTGCTCACCAGCACTCCCTGGTGCTGCTTGCACAGCATGTCCATCAGAGTAGGGCACATCCCGAAGTGGGGGTACATCAAACCTGCTTGAGCACCTCACAGGCAACTTGAGACCAGCATCCTTCTCCCTGGCATGGTCAGGGATCGATCTTTGGGGACCCAGGAACAAGCCTGCCGGCTAGATCATGTACCCCCAGGTCTTGACTGTATTGTTTGGGGGCACAAATGGAAGATTTGTGAATTAATCTCAGGAGGTGAGGGACCCCACATGGGCAGAACTGAGAGGAGAGTTCAGAGTGGGTCCCAGATGGACCACCCCTCCCCTTACAGGAAGTCTGCACTCTCAGCCCAAGCCTGGATCTTGGGCAGGAAAGCTCCCTAGTCCACAGCGCAATCAAGGGGAGCTCAGCTACTTTGAGTTCCTGCCTGGCAGCAGGCATTGGACATAAACAACAGAGCAGGGGAGGGGAGAGGAGAGTGAAAGCTGCTCTTGACAGCCAGATTGTGAATCTCAAACAGCCCTGCCTCCACAAGGAGAACTTCTGGTTGGGTGGGGCCACTTTAGCCCCATCCTGGAGGCTCTGGCCAAAACAGATACCTTGCCAGCTTTTGTGAAGCCTGAGGGCAAGCCCACCCAGCCCCACTCAGCCTCACTCCCCCACCCATCTCTCTTGTGAAAGAGAATACTACTTGCCTGGAAGTTCCAGGGGCCCACCCACCACCTAGGGCATTCAAGTGCTTCTCCTGAGGGACTAGAGCTGGTTATAGGTCCCCAAAACAACACTGCAGATTGTTCCTTCTGGCAAGTGCCACCTAATGACAGGGAGGTCAATTTGCATTCCATTTACAGCATTCACTAAATCAATCATACAGTGTGACTGATTCTTACCCACAAGCACCACCTACTGTCGTAGAGATTAAATTGGACATGGCAATACAATTCACACTGTTAAGAAGACCACAAGGCTGGGGAAAGGGAAAGGATTTCAAAGACCACCATCCTCCCTCATCAATAAGAGACAGGGAATCTGCTGACTGACATAGCTCACCACTGCTACAGTTGACAAACAACTAGCAACTGAGAAAACTACCGCACTAAGGGTATCTATAACCAAGGAAACTACCCAGAATCTATATTACCATCAAAGCACCCAAAAACGAAGCCAAAGGTTCTTACCCAACATATGCTACAAACACACCGTTATGAGTGTGTGTGTGTGTGTGTGTGTGTGTGTGTGTGTGGCGGGGGGGAGCCCAATCTAAACCAAAGAAAATCCAAAAATAAGAAGCAACAGCTGCTCCAAATGAGAAAGAATCAGCAAAAGAACTCCGGAAGTATGAAAAATCAGAGCTAAAGGACACCCACAAAAGGAAATAACAGCATTCTAGCAATGGATTCCAACCAAAATGAAAACACTGAAATGACAGATAAAGAATTCCGAATACGGAGGACAGTAAGGAAGGTCAATGAAATGCAAGAGAAAATGGAAAACCAACTCAAACCAGAAAAACAATTCAGAAAACGATGAACAAAATTCACTAAAGAGATAGACATATTAAAAAAAAATGGAACTTTTGGAAATGAAAAATTCATTTAAGGAAATACAAAACACAATGGGAAGTTTTGATAGTAGACTAAATTAGGCAGAAGAAAGAATCTCAGAGCTTGAAGACAACTCTTTTGAATTAACTTAGTCAAAAATAACGAACAGACAATGGAAGAAAATATTTGCATGCTATACATCTGATAAAGGGCTAATAACCAGAATATACAAAGAACTCAGTAAGAAAACATCAAACGACCCCATTAAAAAGTGGGCAAAAGACATGAACAGAAGCTTTTCAAAAGATGATAGATTGGCCGGGCTTCGTAGCTCATGCCTGTAATCCTAGCACTCTGGGAGGCCGAGGTGGGTGGATTGTTTGAGCTCAGGAGTTCCAGACCAGCCTGAGCAAGAGCAAGACCCCGTCTCTACTAAAAAAAGAAAGAAATTAGGTGGACAACTAAAAATATA